GTTTTCCCGCCATCCTCAACGTCATAGAAATTTACCCAAAATGTAATAATCCACCACCAATTTTTCAGCCCCTCGTTTAACCCATCGTTTACAGTTGCTATTAGTAAATGCTGAAGTTAGATTTCTGACATTTAATTTAATTTTTAATTTAAGTAAAAATTTTTGGGGTAGTCGTAGAAAAAGTATAGTATGTAACACGTGTATAAACTTCTCTAAATATTCGTATTATTAACCACTCGCTTCGCTCGTACCGGAAATAAAACTCATGTCTAAAGAGGCGTTTATAGCACTAGTTACATAATTATACAATTATTTTAACGTTTATTTACAATTTAAAATTCGTTATTTATTTAGTGAGCAAATTGATAATACTTTTAGTTTATTTCGATAGTTAAACACTTTATTGTTTGTTTTATGTGTTGTTTTATGTTATACGCAAAAATTAACTTGCCACTACGAAAATTAAAAAAAAAACCTGTTTATGTTTATATTCAAACGCGGTATAATAATGGTGTTTTTTATTATTCATGATTATTTTGTACTCATATTTTACTCATATTTTTGACAATTTAAATTTTAATGATTGTATGTTTATGACTTAGGCTTTCGTTCTTTATTAGACAAATTACCAAAAACTATTAGCAGTACCAAATTTACATCATATTTTCATCAAAATAACTAAAAAATCTTAAATAGTTTTTCCATTAAAAAAACTTATGCCATATTATTTGTAGAAACTATTTTCACTTTTTTTTTAAATAGCAGTTAATACTTTCAAGTCAATAAGGGTGATTCAAATGAAATTCTTTTAGTCTAATTTGGCACCTGTGTTCACAAAGACTGTTAAAATTGTTGAAATTACAACTTTTTCTATATTTGTTTTCACATGATATTCACCAATCACCTTTAATAAACTTGTTTCATGGTCATTTCATTGTTTAATGTATATGTACTTCTGTACTCCACATTGCTATAAACTGTAATTAAAATGCTCAGAAAAGGTGAATCCAATGATTTTCAAACTATTGGGACACAAAAAAAATGTATCTATTTTTTTTTAGATCTAAATATTTCAATATAATAATTTACAATGCAACAACATTATATTTATTCGAAAAAGATATAATTTTTTAATTAAACTTTACTACCAGCTTCACCTTCGTTAATTATGGTTGATAATTATTGGTTATGTAATATTAAAAGTAGAACGTAATTTTTTGTTTTACGACCATTAAAATAAGTTTTAAAGTCGTTTTTTTTGCTTTTTATGAACATATTCCGAAAATTACGAAGAATCAAGATTTTGATATAATAATAATTAATTCAAATTAATTAATTCTACAACTTACTAAGGTGTTGATTATGTCCACATTTTCCATTGATCTCCATCTTTCTCCACTGATTACTCGACTACACCACAATTTTAAGCAACTTTGGACAATATATCACAATTTTCGAGGTTGTTTTAAAATATTAATAGACTTCAATTTTAAAAAATGTGACTAGAAAAAGTGTATATGTGCCGTTACGCCTCAGTAGTTTCAAGAACAATAATAAAATTTTAGTAAAAAGTACCGGAATTGCCTTATTAATTTCGATCGGCAAACGTGTCTTCTATTTAGTTGATTGAGCGGAACGTTAAAAAAATTGGTAATGAAGTTTTTCCTTATTACATGAAGTCTGAGACTGTAACCTAATAACGCAAAATTTTAACACAAGCTATTTTTAAAATTAAAATCAAGTGAAAAGGTAAATATCCTTCTAAAAATATTTTTGTTTTCGTTGAATGTTCAGAAATAATTTAGATAACGTTGTGCATTCTGAAAACTTAACACAATAACGTTATTGAGTCTTATTTTGTAAATTTCTTATCAAAATGTAACCTCATTAATAACTTTCATGATCGTCTTAACGTACCTACTGATAAGTATTGTGATAATTTTTTAACTTTTAACCTTTCTAACATACAATATTTTTAAATAATTGATAAACATCTACATACTTTATATGCAAATAGCGGGTATGACAAAGCAAAACTGTTTAAAATTATTGTCAGTTTCCTCAAAACAAAATATTTTCTACGACAAATCCAAATAAAAAATCGATGTTCTGTTAACTTTCATAAATTATAAATCCCTAAAATTACCTTGAGACATATCACATAAATTAGAATTTCAATCGAGAATAAATTGAAAAAAGTTCGGTAGGTCATCGAGCCCGAAAAAATTATTGTTTGTGCACACTGTATAAAAATAAAGCCTCATTGAAGTTAAATATAAATAAAAAAACACTATTTACCCTTTCTCCTTGCCATGGTGTAAAATGTCAGTCTTTAAAAAAAACTATGGAAGCCCTAAAGATGCGTTTCACTTCCACAACTGGTGGCCACTTACTGACAATATTTCTTGTGAAACACAGTCGAACCGTAAAGACAGATTGAACTATGATCACTTTTTAAAATAAATCGACCAAAGTTTAACCGACTGCACCTAATCCTGACTTGATTTAGGCCTCAAATAACAGTATTTTTCAAAAAGAAAACTTGCACTTATTTCAAAAATAGAAAATAATAAATTTAACGTACGATTTAACGAAAACAACACGTATCTCTATATGTTATGAATGAACGGTTTATTAATGAGAATCGAGAATAATTTCGACATACCTACATTTGGGAGAGAAAGTTAATTTATAGATCCTGCATTTGCATTAAAGACAATTTTAAAATTCATTACTTAAATGCATCGTCATTACAGTCTTTCCCAAACAGGTGCAGCTCTCTATTATGTGCAAGTATTTTACTATTTATTTCAGTTGTTTACTCAGTCAAATAATTAAAGCAGAAAACTGGACAGCCAAGCCCCCCGTCCTTATTTGAAACTATAATCATATAAATATTTCGCCAGTGTTGAAAATCTTGGCTTAATAATACGAATATGAACTAAAAATAAAAAAAGTTTTTTAGTGACGTGGATTTTATTTTTTTGATATTTAATTATAGATTTATAAATTGCAAACTGTGTGATAAGAGTGCACCTTGTTGGCAGCCAAGCCAAGTTTTCGGTCTCTTATTTATTCTCACGTGGTTTGAAATTAAAATAATAAATCTGGAAGCTGTTTACACATTTTGTTGAATTAATCTAATTAATTGATTTTGCTGCTTTATTACAATGAACTTTTCTCGAAGCCAAACAAAGTCAGTTTGAAATGTTTATTTGGTCCACTTTGTTATGAAAGTTCGTGATGGTTTTCTTAAAATAAATATCTAGAAATGCTAAGGTTTCAATCTAAACATGTTTATGCATTGAAAATTCTGTATTATTATTATTAGATTCACATTTCAATATTGTGCAGTGTTAAGTGGTTACATATAAACATAAAAATATGCCACAGTGATCTAATTTAACATGTTGGCAATCAAAATAAACAGAAGAGTATTTATTTCGTATCTATTAATATCTAAATTAATAACTGATTTTGTTACCAAAATAATGTTTTGCACATTATGTTCTGCAACTGAATGTAATGAAATCAATCATTCTAAATAAAACATTTTTACAAATTGTACCTACCAAATTTTGTAACAGGTTATCTCAATGTGTCGTTTTTTGAAAAAAACATGTTCTTTTATTCATGTTGTTCAAGTTAGACACAAATCAAGGAGACTGTTGTACAACTCTTGTTTAAATTAGTGTTATTTTAAAGTTGTCTTGACCTCTGGTTGTAGTTCTTTACATTTCCCTGGTATTAACAGACTAGGTATTAATTAGTAATTACTATTTATTACAGATATTTTTTTTAACTGTTTATAACTATATTAACAATATTTTAAACAATTCCTATTGTTCTTTTATTCAAAATATCTCACCAAAGACTATCTGAATCGATTACTAGTGTTGAAATTTTAAAATTATTTACATACCAGGTGAATAAAAAGTATGGAACCAAACGTTTTTTGCTTACGTTATTTATTTTTTGTAAAAACTAATTGATGAATGACAAAGTAGGTACTATAAAAATGTGATGTTTTATCAACAATAAAAATTTTCGAATTTTTTTTTTGTTTTTCAGTTCTACATTTTTTTTAAATGGCAACCCACTATAAAACCATTTTTCTCATAAAGGTTATGATTTAAGGATTACAACTATTTAATTAAAAAAAAAAATGCATAAATTGTAATTTTGACAAAAAAATCGCAAAACTCAAAAACAAAATAAAATTTTGTTCTTCAAATATGGTCACATTTTTTATATTACTTTAATTATATTATTATTTTCTAGAGACAAATGATTTAAAAAAACCGCTTTATTCCATATTTTATATTCACCCCGTATATCTAATATTTTCAGTAAAAAGTTGTAGGTACTTATTTCATTTTGTGGGATTTTTAAGCATTTATTTCATATCCAAAAATTACAAAATTTTTCAGTAGATGTTATTTGTATCAAACTACTGTTTAATTTCAAGTGAATCAAATGACTACAAAAGAAAAAAACTGTGTTTCTTACAAATTTTAACCCTTAAACTACTAAATTAGTTTTATAATCGTTGCGCTGTGTGCGCACATATTTTGGGTGGTGCGTATATATACGGTTAGAGCGGTTAAATCTTATTGCGTAGAAATACGTTTTGAGCAGTTTACTGCTAAATTCACAAATTCTTAGAAAAATTTTCAGGTCTGTATTTGTAAAATTTAGAGTAAAGGTAATTTGTTTTATTCAGTGCAATATTTTAAGAGTACAGAAACCTTATTACTCCGCATAAGTTTTTTAAATACTCCTAATTGTTTTCATAAAACGTAATAATCAAAATTATCAATTTCTTGAACAGAATAATACTTTGTCACCGTTTTTAGCAAAAATTTACTTTAGCTCTTGATCAGTAAAAAATTTGTTTTGTATTGTTCTGTAACAATAAAAAGCAAACTTAAAAAATTGTATAAGCAATAAAATAATTTCGCTTGTAAGAAGTCATCACTCATTTTTCCGTGCTAATATCGTAGAACACAACTTTTGAACATTCTTTTATGAAAAAAATGAATCCGTCCCATGGGTTTCTAAGAACGCATTAAACAGTTACCGCGTTTAGAGCAGTTAACAACACCAAAGAAAAAAAAATTGAATTAGCAATGGATTTATGGTCTTTTAAAAGTAATTTCGTAGATATACGGTTCGAGCAGCCAACCACTCGGCGTAGATATACGTTTAGCAGTTTAAGGGTTAAAAAGAAAAATTGATGTGTAAAAAAAATTACATAATAATGTATCCTTGTCACACATTTACTAAACATTAACTAAAAAAACCTTTATTCTCAACTTTGTTGTTAGTTCGTTAAATAAATGAGTAAAGAAAAAACAAAGAAATTAAAATAATGTTTATTTTTCAAGTTGATCTACAAAGGTTTGTACTGTAAAATTTTATGAAAAAGAAAATGAAATAGATGTAAATTGACAATTTTACGGCACTTAAAATTTCTTATTAATTGTTGTCAAAAATATTCAATCCTTTAAAGTGCAATAATTTTGACTATTTCTTCACAAAATTTAAACCAATCATAACATTTAAATTTCTGAGATTCATCCAATCAGAATTATTCAAATTAGGTGACAATTCGATATGTAGAATCCCAGAAATTTGAAAAATTTGATTGACGTGAATATTTTATTTTAATTTCTCATAATGAAAATATGGTTTTTGTAAATATTGTTCGGGAAATAGTCTTCAAAATATCCCTTGTGCATGCCAAATTGATTCTAATTTTAAATTATCGACAATTTGACATGCACTCGGGATATTACTATTGATAATTAAAAAAGATTTGGTTAAATATTTTCGTCAACAGTTAAGCTATTTATGTGTATAGTAGTATACTATAATCATAATATTATATGCAACATGTATTTAACAAAACTCAATTGTGCCGAAATTTCAAAAACACAGCTTTTAATAATTTAAAAAATGTGTAATAACATAAAACTAAGTTAAGCTTTATCGTTCACAGCAATAGTTTCGGCGACATTTCCTTGTTCATCTTCGACTGGTTCTTTCCCAAACAAGAATCTATAAAACAGAGCACCGATGAAACCAGCACTTAAAGGGCCAACCCAATAAATCTGCAACCCCAAAATGAGCATAATTTACCCCAAAACTCTCAAAATTACCCAATGATTTTCCCAGTCTCCATTTATCAACGCCGGAGCAAAACTCCTCGCCGGATTCATGTTCCCTCCACCGTACGGTACCTAAAACAATCATTTGTGTTAAAATCTCAAGACATAACAAAAATTGTACCCCAACTAAAGCCAAAACAGTGATAGTCAACCCGAATCTAATTGGAACGGAATCGTGTTTTGTGTTGTTTCTACAGTCCCAAACTCCACAACACACAAGTGTGAGCATTAGAGAAATAAGAAATTCGATCAAAAGGCCCTGGAAGGGGGTGACTCCCGGGTGGAGGGCTGGCGAACACAAGCCCACACTTGTTGAATTAGTTTCGAAATATTCCGTCGGGGTGGCCAACTGTAAAAATATTTTTACTCATTTTTTTTTAAATTGTACTTAATACTCAAAAGTTACCTTCACTAAGCCAAAACCAGTCAGGGCTCCCAACATTTGGCCAACGAAATAAATAGGTACTTGAATTAATGGAATGTTACCTAAAGTGGCGGCCGCTACTGTTACTACTGGGTTAATATGAGATCCAGAAATATGACCAAAACACTAAAAAAAATTTGTAACTCATTTTTCTATTAATTGAAAGAAAAAACACCTGAACTGAGACCATGACAGCAAGTCCAAAAGTAAGACAGATCTGTAAGTGAGTGGGAGGAATACCGAAATTTATGCATCCAGCGCATCCAAGAAATACAAGAATTGCAGTTGCACAAACTTCTGATGCACAAATAACGACGCGGTCCATCGTGGTTAAATTATCACCGACTTGTATTTTTTTTCCTGAAAAACAGGTAGGACGTTTAATGTAATTTATTAGTCAATGTTCTTGAACGAAAAGGGTTGAATAATAGTACTATACAGCGTACGCCAGAATTCGCGCCCCAGGGACAAATGCCATGTAAGGTAAGATACCAAAAACATAAAAAAAATGTTAAAAAATTTTAACCACAGGAATTTCAAAGTTATAAGAGTTTAAATTTTGCACTGTGACCCTATTTATTTCTGTTGGAAAAATAATTTTACAAGTTTTTTTGCTACAGGCTATTAGAAGAAACAAGGAAGCTATATCCTAAATTATAACCCTTTTTAATATTATTTGTGGTTTTTATTGGCAACTTTACTAACTTATTGTATTATATTGTAACTTTACTAAATGATTATAAAAAACACATGTCAAATGTCAAAATAATAAATCTCAAAATTTTTTGACAGATAGAATTTTTTAAACATTTTTTCCATGTTCCTGGAATCTCATCTTACTTGAAATTTTTCTCTGGGGCGCGAGTTTTGACACCCTGTATATTAACAAAATTTTAAAGAATTTCTATTGTTCTTTTATTCAGAATGTTTCAGCAAAGACTATCTGAATCGATTACTCGTGTTGAAGTTTTAAAATTAAGTACATATCAGGTGAATAAAAAGTATGGAACCAAATGTTTTTTGCTTAAACTATTTATTTTTTGCATAAACTAATTGATGAATGATAAAGTACTATAAAAATGTGATGTTTTATCAAGAATAAGATTTTTCCAAATTTTCTTTTGTTTACGAGTTCTACAAAAATTTTTACTTTTTTAAATGCCAACCCACTTTAAAACCAGTTTTCTCATGAAGGTTTTGATCCAAGGATTACAAATATCTACTTTATATTTAATTTTTTTTAGAATTTATTTTTACGTAAATTGTAATTTTGACTCAAAAAAAAACAAAATTTCATTCGCAAAATACGATCAGATTTTTTATATTACTTTGATTTATATTAATTACTATTTTAAATGATTTAAAAAAAAACCGCTTGGTTCCATACTTTATATTCACCTGTATATAATTTTTACTTGAGAATAAACTAGAAATATAAAACTAATTTTTATTTTTGTTTTTGTTTATATTTGGTAAACATTATTATGTGCACCCAACACCAAAACAATTTTTTTTCAATAGGTCAGAATAAATAATAAGTTTTTTTAAATAATATAGTGTATGCTTTATAGAAAATTGTTTGTTCAATCATTCGATCAATATTTTTTTGTGAAGGTAATTAAATCAAATTGTAATTAGATATGTATGTATCTGGCATTAGCTAATTGTGTTACCTTGAAACAAATATTTGTATCCATTTTATTAATATAATTTATTTATTTCATGTTCACAAAAAGTAAGTAATGGGAAAAGTTAATTTGTGTGTAATTTTTTTGCAATTTTTTATACAAAGAAATTTTCAAATTATAAAATATGGATATTAAAAATATTCATATTAAAATTAAATAACTTTTTGAACTATTATGAAATCGTATTTAAGCATTAAAAAAAAGAAGAGTTTGATCTTTTTCTAGGTGGATTTTTATCGAGCGATCAAGATAATTTGTAATCGAGTCATCTTTGCATCCGAGAACATATGTCTGTTTTTGAACCAACTGCATGTGAAACGTCAAATAAAAGGACAAGTCAAAAAGTAAAACGACAAAATGGGCTGAAATTAGTCGCCGGCGTAAAATATTACATGTAGAACCGTTCTTTTTTGAAGGTAAATTAGAAATTTAGTTATTATAATCATCACCTTTTTGATCATTGATCATTTTACCTTTCGACTTGACATTTTACAGACATATGTACGCTTTCAGATCCAAGAACAAATAATCTTGATTGCTCGATAATTAAAAAAATAATAAACTCCCAAAATTTAACGTTACGTTTGAGAACATTCAAATACCTATAATAATTGATTTTTTCTAAATGAAATGCCCCAATTTTTTCTTCACCAAATGAAGGAGAATTTAATTCTTTTTGATATTGCCGGAAATTCATTAGCCATGTAAACCAATGTAGCATAAAAAATGAGAATCAAAGTTATTCAAATTTATATATTTACCAAAAGAATAACAATTGTGAAAAAAATTTGTTATTTCTTCAGTGAAAAAAATTTTCATAGCAAACTATACGAAAACTACTATGTAAAACAATGAATTTCTTCTACTGTAAAAAAAGTCAAGATAACTTGAAAACCATTTAACATATAGGGAATGTTCACACAAATCGATACAGAATTAAATTCTTCTTATTTAGTAAAGAAAAAATTGGGGCCTTTCATTTGGAAAAATTGAGTTATACGTATTTAAAGTTATCGAAACGTAACCTTGAATTTTGGAGGTTTCTTAATTATTTTCTTAATTATAAATGTACCAAAAAAAAGATCTAACCTTTCTTCTTCATATGGCCGAATACGACTTCAGAATAATTAAAAATGGCACAGTTATCGATTTGTGAAGAAGAAAGAGTAAATCCAAAAAAATCAAAAAAATCTTAATATTAAGGCTGATAAAAACTCTCAAAATCACTTGACTAATCCAAAAACATAGCTTTTAATACAATGAGAGGCAAAATTATGGTATAATCTTATTAAAACTGAAATTATTTTGTTTTGGAAAAATGCTCGAACAGGTCAATTTTCTTTTTAAAAAATACACAATTTTTAACATGATGTATAATTTTACACTTTTTTGATTTTTGAGTAATAAGATCGACCCCTGATTTTTTAGCTGATTCGATAGATCTTTTAATTGTCAAAATATTAAATAATACATAAAGTTTTCGAGAAAGTGAAATAATATCAACAAAAAACAAACATGCAATTTTAAATCAGGTTGAGAATTTTATACAGAGTGTGCCAGAACTCGCTTCCCAGAGAAAAATGCCATATAAGGTAGGATACCACGATTATGGAAAAAATGTTAAAAAAATTTTATCTATGAAAATTTCGAAGTTATGAGAGTTTAAATTTTGAAATTTGACTTTATTTATTTCTGTTGGAAAAATAGTTTTCTAAGTTTTTTTGCTATAGGTTCTTAAAAGAGAAAACAAAGAAGCTGTATTCTAATTTGTAACTCTTCTCCATGTTATTTGTAGCTTTTATTGGCAAAATTTTTGTACCTTTACTAAATAATTGTGAAAAAACATATACAAGGTCATCAGTATCATTAAATAGGCATAAAAAAGTCAAATGTCAAAAAATAAATGTCAAAATTTTTTGACAGATAGAATTTTTTAAACATTTTTTCTATGTTCCTGGTAGCTTACCTTACTTGAAAATTTTCTCTGGGGCGCGAGTTCTGGCGCATTTAAAAAAAAATTGACCTGTTCGAGCATTTTTGTCAAAACAAAATATTTTCTGGTTAAATAAATAAGATTATTTCATAATTTTTTCGCTCACAGTATAAAATAAGGAATAACAAATACTTGGTATTAATATTGTTTTTTGATATGAATTAGCAAAATGCAAATTGGGCCGATATAAATAGTGGCATGAGCGACTATTTTGAATATTTGATTTATTTCCAACAATATGACGTCAAGCAGGCTCGTCTCGTACTTGACCAATGACTTTGTTTTCGACTTAAAAATATCTATAAACTCATGTTTATTATGTTTCAGTTGTGACATCTTGTTACGACAGTGATTCTTAATTTTTTAGTTTTTTAATAGGTCATTCAAAGGTTTACATCTTGTTTATCCATGCTCACCCTTTCTGAGATAAAAAAGATTTGTAAAACTTTAGTATGATTTAATTAAACTCTGGCTTCTAACAGTGAACGAATAAAGGAAATTGCATAATTATCATTATTTGTCCAGTACAACAATGAAGTGATGCACATTATTTTAATTAGTCCTGCATTTATCACGTAGAAATGGTATTGTGGTGTCAGTTTTTTTATATTCTTCAATGTAATTTACATTTGCATCCACATATTAAACTTTAACATCGATTATCAATTAGTCGCGTCACATTTTATGTTATGCACACACATTTTTTTTATATTTATATTATACAGGGTGTGTCAACTCGTGCCCCAGAGAAAAATTTCAAGTAAGATAAAATTCCAAAAACATGAAAAAAATGTTTGAAAATTCTGTCAAAATTTTTTGACATTTGACATTTTTATGCCTATTTAATGATACTAATGATCTTGTATATGTTTTTTTTTAATTATTTAGTAAAAGTACAAAAATTTTGCCAATAAAAGCCACAAATAACATTAAACTTAGGATACAGCTTCCTTGTTTCCTCTTCTAATAGCCTGTGGCAACTTGGAACTTGGAAAATTATTTTTCCACTTTTCCCTGGGCCCAAGTTCTTGCGCACTCTGTATTTTTTTTAATATTCAAAGGAATTTCTTTTTGTTTCCAATCGATACAAAATAAATAAATACCTATTATGTAATAACTGTCACGTGTGTATACCTATACTGTTATTATTTATCATCAGATAAAAAGAGAACATTGGAACATTTCTAGAGTTTTAAAATTTCTATATGGTTTTTTTCTATATTTTATTAAAAAATAGATAAGCTCTTGTAAAATAAAGAGGCAGTTTTATTCTGGATGATTTAGATACCAAAAATATTTTTTTCCGAAAACGTCTAAAATCAAATCATTGAAGCCTAAATTATGCTGCAACCAACAAACAATTCAGTGAATCCAAACTGTCATATTACAATTTACTTAAATAAATAAGTTCTTCCGTGTTGTTTTTGTCTATAATTTTTGCATCAATGATAATACGTATATTAACCTAACTTCCAAAACTAGATTTACACAAATAATTTCGTTCAAATTTGCGATTTGAGAAAAAAATTAATATACACCTCGGCACTAAAATTACTCTTCATTACATATATTGTGTTTTATTTGCCTCGGCTACACACATTCGTAATGAAAGATAAGTCTTTAGTGCCGAGGTGCATGAATAACTATTACTACAAAAATTCAAGCTTTTAAACTTTTAAAAATCTAAATAAACTAAAAATACACATCCTGAAATCACTTTAAAATATGAAACATTTTGTGTAAAAATGTGAATATACAATTTTCCAAATCAAATTCTGAAGAATCTCTACAGGGTGCCCACTTTATTTGTTCCCGTCTAAAGGAGCAAAAATAGGCAACATATTATACATTTCATAAACTACTTTGTGTAGAGTATTAACTATTTCAAATCGAATAATCATAGTCGGTGCTTGACTACTGACATTGTAAACTTAAAAAAAATTATATTCAAAACTCAAGTGTATAATAATAGAAACAACAGCAAGAAATTAACAAATTCTCACTTTAACTTTTTTAAATTGCCCAGTTTGCCGTAAATTGCTCACAATCTTCCGAAAAACCTGTTTTGCTAGAATTTTTTTTCCTAAGCATACGGTATCATAATTCTTGCTGTACTCTCCCAAAATTAATATCATATCTGTTTTTTTCAGAGTTGTTATACACAGATCACTTTAGGATTGTCACGAATTAATTACAACTCGAATTAATCTTGCAACGAAAATTGACAAAATTCAAATACATAATGAGCAGCTGATTATGTTTATTATAAAAGAAATAACATTGTAAACACAAAGTCTCATATAAAAAGTTATATTGGTTGCCTATTTATGATATTTTAGGCGGAAACAGGCGAGCACCCTGTATGCAGATTACAGAAACGCTATACATTTAATTTTGTGTATATCAATATCTTCACTGTTTCGTCAAATTTTTTTATCCGCCCTGTATTTCTATTATTGTCAAAGAAAATTAATTAATCACTTTAGATTTCAATTACCGAAAGAAGGTATTGAAATATTAATACCTACAATTATACTGCATTTTGTTGCGTTACTTAAAATTTATTTACAACATAGACAACCAGATAAACAAAATCTATTAATATTTGCTTTACGAAATATGTTAGTTAAAACGTGATAATATGTCAGTATGATAATATTTATTTTAATTATTTTACTTTTCCATTGTCCAGATTGTTAGTCGCCGAATAATAATTGAGTTAATTATAAATAATTTATCTTTTATTAATTTATTTTTTAATGCTTAACTGTAAATAGTGAATATTTGTAATACTTTGATCATTTTTTCCACACAACATAAATTTAATTAAAATTAATTGCATTTTATAAATTATTGTTGCATTTAATCTATTAGCGGCATACCGACATGCAAGGGGTGACTAATTCACGATAAACGTGATACCACTCCTAGAAATTGGCGTTCTTTGAGCTTTCTATGTGATTAGTGTTCAATTCCATCATTGGATTCGCGAACTTTTTCTAATTACACTGGTGCTAAAAATACCATCTTACCTTCATGCCTTGGCGGTTCATTTGCAACCCATTTGTTATGTTCCGGAGTTACGGCTCCGGGTGGGGCCACAATAAATGATATTCCAGGTGCTCCGCCACCATTTTGCGACGAAAATTGTGTGTCCAACATTTTTAAAATGTTATTTACCGCTACGACCACCGAAGGATGCACTTGGGAGGAAGTCGTTTTGGATTCTGGAAGGCAGCTGCCTAATCGAGGAAAATTTATTTATGTTCGGTATAACAGTTGGCACAGTGAAAACAAAATTAATTAATTAGTAACAAAAACAGTAAATTATCCTAATTGTAACATTTTAATCTTGTCTAGTGTTATCTCGATTTAATCCAGTTCCTAACAGATTACCTCGTCAAATTAAATTTGTTGTAAAACATTTAGTAAAACGTATTTGGTTTGAAATTTTATGTCTTTGAAACCAAAAATCACTTTCTCCTAACGTCACTTAGTAATTAATAAAAAAAACGTATACACAATTTTTTGAGACTATGATGTATGTATTTCATTTTAACGTCTGGTATAGTTATACTTTGTTTTAAACTTTTACTATTTTATTATTTATTATAGCAATTACTGAATCAATACTCACATAACAAAAGTACAGTGTTCTAAGTTTCTTAATGTTTAACTTTTTTTTCTTCAAATTAGATTGACTTACGAGTATTTTACGACATTAAAAAATTAGTAATTTGAATATTGTAATTTGAATATTTTTTAAACGTTTTATTTTGGAATATGTATGTAATATACAATAATGTATGTAGTTACAAAAATCCGAAAGTTATTTAAAATTTTAATTCAATTTAATTAAATTAAGTATTTAAAAACTTACCACTTGTTCAAAAGAAATTATTAATTGCACTAATAAAACATAGCACACTCCTAAAAGTTAACATGGAGCATATTTGTCCGACAGAGCTTACAATAAAATAAACACATTAAAAGCTCGCCGAAGTTTTTATCCTTGCTATGACTTTCTCGCTCTGGCGTTACTTATCTATGATCGGCGGTAACGATAGTAATCATTTTCATATTATTGGGCATTATTTAATTAATTGGTAAATCATTTTTACTCTTATAACAAACATTATTAAATTGCCTTGTCATATTTAAGTCAAATGCAAACTACGAATATTGATTAAAGATAGGTGCAAATGGTAACTAACAGAAAAAAATGGTTAAATAAGCATACAAACAAGTTTTTATGTTGTTTAATATTGTTATTTTGGGTGATATGAATTTTGTTTATTACCACACTGTTTCTGTTTGTTGTTTGGCTACCATACCATACCTAATACCTTTTTGACAAGCAACACATGTCTCGTCTGTTTTAACTTTTTTTTTTCATAGATAATAGATTAAATCATTGCAAATAAACAAAAGTGATTTTTTTTGTTACCTGTTTTGAAGAATACGTACTATTATGCATAAAATATTGATGTGAGAAAGAGATTTTATACAATAAACACAACTTAAAAAAATACAAACTGTTTCACATAATTTTACGAGATCCGCACCTCCAAATTCAAATAGTCGCAAAACAATAAATACAAATAATAATTTTGTTATGTTTGGAAATGGTTGACAATGGTTGTCAAGTAAATTATTATTTCATTAATGAGTTTTTAAAATAACATTTATGTATTCAAATAACAAAAGAGTAGAGATAAATTACTAATCTATCTGTCCTAATCACGAACTAACAAAAAAAGTTGTACATTAATTTATTGCCAATCATTGAGGAGAAAATTATGCACTTTTTTAATATTTTTAATCGCAAGTTCGCGCTTTTACTCTACTTTTACCTAGGGTGAACAGAAAATATAAAACCAAACGTTTTTTGTTTTGTTTTAAAAAAAACTAATTGATGAATGATAAAGTACTATAAAAATGTGATAAGAAGAAGAAGAAGAATAAAATTTTTCAAATTTTTTTAATTTTTGAGTTTTACAAAAATTTTAGTCTTTTTACTATGAAATCCTTTTTTACAAAAGCTATGATCTAAGAATTACAACAACTGTCTTCATTTTATCAATTTTTGTCAAAAATATTTTCATATACCAAAATTGTCAACGCAAAACTGCACATTGATTTTTATTAATTATTATTTTCTGAGAAAAAATGCTTGGTTCTATAGTTTTTGTTCACCATTACATTGTTGATTGCGTTTTACTGGCGTCGGTCTCATCAAATTATGTGAAACACTTTATGTAATTGTTTAAAAAAATCAAATCTAAGAATCAATACATACCAGGTGAATAAAAAGTATGGAACGAAGCGTTTTTCTCGTAAACTAACCACTTTACAAAAAAAATAATTAGTGTAGCGTAAAGTCCAATTAAAATGTGACCATTTATCAAGAATAACATTTTTCGAAATTTCTTTTAGTTTTCGGGTTTTAGAAAAAAATTTTTTTTTTAAATGGCAACCCACCATGATAATTTTTTAAATTAAAGATTATG